TCTATTCATCGTCTTCTATTTTTTTAAGCTAATGATATTTGTAATTAAAAGAAATATCAATAGATAAATACGTTGCATCGTATAACATGCATATCCTTCTTATTATATTATATTCTTTTTTTTTTGCTATGAAAATTTTGAATATTTTTTAAATGTCAGTGCTATTATTTCTATTTGTTTCAATATGAAATGATATATCTTGTCAATCATATCTTCAAATTATTCAATTGTTCTAATTTCTGTTAGTTTTTTTTTCTGAAATTTGATTTTCAACTTAAAAAGATCCCTCCCTCAAAATGTATTTCGATTAAACGAATAAAAAGAAAAGAGAAGAAAATGTCGTTATTTTCATGAACCTCTCGCAATTTCATTAAATTTCAAGCCATGGAAAGAAATATCCTATAAAAAATTTTATTCATTCATTCAATTCGAATTTGGTACTTTTGAACCCTTCACTCTAAAAAGGTTAATACTGAAAAGTTTTATTGACTTTTAGCTTCTTTTGGAAGTCTTGAAATTAAAAAAAAAAACACGGCTTATTTTGATAATTTAGCATCTTTTTTGATATTTATATAAAATTTCAAGAATTATTTCGAAATTAGATAGATAAAAAAATGATAGTAATTATCATTGTCAACCTGCGAGAATGAAAGAGAGAAAAAAAATTGAACGTTTAGTTAAGAAAATTTTCGGTTGGACGTAAAGATGCAACATAATACTTTGATGGATGAGTAATTTAAATCAATGATTCATTTGCTAACTTTGTAAATGGATAACTTTATAAAAAATCCAATTCTTGAATTAAATATAAATTTGCTTCATTCCACTAAGGAAGTTAATCCGAAATTGCGTTACTGTGTAAAGTAATTTCTTTCAGATCTTCAATTCTCATAAATATAAATAACCTATTGGTTTCGGAGAGAGAGAGAGAGAGAAAAAGAAAAGGGAAAGGAGGGAAATGACGAGGAGAAAGGGTGAGAGAGAAGGGGATTAATATAAATTTGCTTCATTTCACTAACGAAGTTAATCTGAAATTGGACTTATTGTACAAAATTTTTTTGAGTATGTTTCACTTCTCGCAAATATTGGGAAAAGAAGAGGAGGAAGATAGAGAGATAAAGAGAGAGAGATAGAGAGAGACAGAGAGATAGAGCAATACTTGTCTACTTCGAAATATTCAATTTTTCTCTCGAGGAAAATAAATGATGGCATAAGGATGAACGATATTGTGAAAACTATGTTATTTCTTTTTTTTTGACTTTTTTTAAACTTCTTAAATTACTAAATACTAAAATTTATTCAATAAAAAATTAAAATTTTGTTTAATATTTGACAAATATCAAAAATTTATGTAATATCCAAAAACTTTATTAAATATTGAAAACTTTTACTATTTTTAGTCATTTGAAAAATCCTTTTCTATTTAACCTTTCTGACCTTTTCCATAACAAAACTTGATAGTCGATAAGCCGGGATGAAATTTCAGGATAATCCTCTTTTGTTGCTTCAAATTTTCATAAAAAGCCTTATGGATTTATATTTTTAAAATATAAAACTTACTATTCGAAACATTTTTTCCATCTGATACTCAATATAATTCGATTCACTGATTGAATTAAATGTAAAATGAAATCCAGCTTTTAAATTTGATTCGTCAAGTGAATGTTTATGATGTTTGTCAAAGGTGTGATGGAAAATTGAATAATTAAGCTTTCAGAATTTGCCGGATGATAGAACGCAATTATTGACTAATTACTAAGGAATATCATAAAATTTGATAGCAGAAGTGGAATTGTTTTTATTCTAAACCGTTCTTGCAAATCCAACAGGTATGATAATTAGAAATTTAGCGAATATTTTAAGCTAATTTCAACCGATTTTTTTCATTTCATTTTTCTTTTCCCTCTTCTATTTTCTCGTTTAATTAGTTTATAAACCGGAAAAAAAAGTTAAATATTAATCTGAATCAGAAGACCAATCGATCATCAATCTTCTTCCATATTTTTTTTATTATTTATTATGAAAAATAAAAGAAAAATCTGCAATACAAACAATTTTTGATAAGCGAATGCTAAATATGAAAATGTCAAAAAAAGAAAACTCTAAAAAAAACATATTGTAAAAGAAAATGAAATATATTTTTAGAAAGTATTTGATGCCAAAATACTTTCATTCCTAATATTTTTTTAAATGCTAGAAATTAAAACTATGAGTGAATTGAAAGAATATTTTTATTTTACTTTTTTTTTTATTTAAATTGTTTCCAGTTTGTTTACATTAAAGATTTGAGAAGAAAGGGAGAAAATAAAAACAGCACTAACAAAGTCAAAAGAATAAGCAAAAATGCTAACCATATAAAATAAAATATATTGAAATAAACCATATATATTCCGGGATAAAAAATCAACATGAAATTTTTTTTGGCTTTTAATGCAATTATTTGAGTAATATCAAAAGGGAATATAATAAATTGATCTACCGATGGTTAATACTGGTTAAAAATTAAAAATTAAATGGGAATTTTAAAATCAATAGCAAAACTTTTCGTTTTTACGCTTCTCTTTGCGCAATAAAATAAATCATCTATTTTGACATTTAAAATTCTTTAGATCCATAAGTTGTAATAATATTTAGTGGAGTTTTTCATCATGACATCCAAATATCATCTAACAATGGAATCTAAGAAATGAAAAAGAAAATTTGTATTTTTTTATAGTGATAAGATAAAGTGATTAATGAATTAGTAATTAAAATTTGATGGAAGAGCATTCTCTCCCATCAAATTTTAATTATATTGGCTATTTGATAAATGTATTAGAATTCATTTAATGAAATGTGATAGCAACAAGGTAAGTAAAATTTTAGTCATTCGATAAATTTGATATTTCGGACTAATTTTTTCAAGCAAATTCATTTTAAAATTCTACTTAATTCTAATATCCATAATTTTTATAATATCCATAATATCCATATAAGATATAGTGAAATAAAATGTGATATGAGGATAAAATATAACACTATAGCAAAATTGAATTTAATTTAAAAATATAATAACCTATAACTGACTAAAATCATACAGAAAATGAAATTTAGATATGGAATAAGCAAAAAAAAAATAAATTACTTCGATTTTCAGAATAATTTATATCTAAAAAGGAAATTTAAAAAATAGAAATTATAATGTGTCATTTTTATACAATCATGGCATTTTCATAATTATGTGCAAAATTTACCAGCTATTTGATAAATGCATTAGAATTTATTTAATAAAGTGTAATAGCATCAGAATAAGTAAGCTTTCAGTTATTCGATAAATTTAATATTTCAAACCAGCTTCTCCAAACAAATTCATCTTAAAATTCTACTTAATTCTAATATCCATAATTAACGATTGATTGATTTCTCAATTCATATCGATCAGTAAATTATGGCTGTTAAAAAAGAAAATTATCATTCACTAATATATCTTTCACAATGATATTACTTTCCGTTCATCAATTGTTCGAGCTTTCTCGTTGCATTTGATAATTTTCAAACTTTTATTTTAATTATTGCTTACATCTTCTAATCCTTCGATTCTTAACATACTTTCACTGCTTACTGCTGCATAATCCATATAAGATAATAATCTAATATAGAAATTAGCATATTTAAATTTGCCGCATGAAGCTTTATCTTGAAATAAATTTGTGATTTATTACAATTAATTACTTTCGCCGTACACCTCTATAAGCCATCATTAAAGACCATTGGATATTTTCGCTTTTTCGCTATTTTTAAAGTAATAATTCTTGTAAACTTTGTTTGATTTATTTCCATTTAAAACATAATACAATATATATTTTCTTCAAATTAAACGTATTGATCAATTTATTTTATTTGCCTTTCGTTTTAATAATTTAACACTGAAATGGATGAAAAATTTTGAACTGTCTGTTCAATATTTTCGTTTCATATTAAATGATAATTGTTTGATAAATGAAAGTACGCATCATTTAAATAGCATATTCAATAGCAAGAAAAGGTGATGAGTGAAATGTATCACTGAATAAGACTTAAACTTGAAACTAAAATGACACATAATTAAATTCATTCATTACATTAGAATAGTTTTTCGATTTTACAATAATTATTATCATTATTCATAAGTAGTATTCTTTAATTATGAGCAGTATGATATCATTAGCAAATAATATTCTAAAATATATTAATTAGAAGAAATATTTGCAAATATTTTATTAGATTAAATGATTTGATTTAAATAAAAACATTTTCAGCTCACTAATGGATAGCTTTATACCAAATCATGCAATGATGCACGATTTCTTAAATTTTCAACATCATCGATGGAATAAAAAAAATTCAACACAAAAGCATATTCATCATCGTAACGTTCATCGTAATGCTCGATCGATGTCATTATTGGATCGTCGTGGATTAATTACTGCTCCCAGATTTCTATCTAGGAAATGTAGCATTTCACCGTTATCGCATCACAAAAGTATATTTTCGTTACAAATATAAATTATAAAAGTATATTTCATATCTCCAATTTCCAATCTAATTTATCAGTGTATTTCAAATGATGAAAATATTCAAAATTACTTAATGAACAAAATTTTTTAATCATTTATTGGCATACACTCTCACACACACTCACACAAACACACACACACACACACACACACACACACA